TGAATGAGAGTGAGAATATGGGTGAGAGTGAACTTTTATAAGTGGTTGGGTTATTTCTTTTTCTTCTCTTTCTTGTTATTACTATCATTATCATTATCATTATCATTATCCTTTATCAATTTATTTATCTATCATTTATTTTTTGCAGTCTTTTATTTTTTCTTGCATCTCAAGCCATTTCATTCTCGTCTTGCAGAGTGATGCCATTCCCGAAATACTGAAGAACATGTTACTGGTAATGGAGACAACTCAGGTCTTCCACACGGCTGATGGCTTCACGCGCCTCTGGACCATCACATGGGACCGCATTGACGCCTTCTTGCCTGATTTTCGCCACCACATCTTCAGGAGCCACCCCCCATGTATGTGTTCTTGGAATCATGTTATGAGGTGTTAGATGTGGCATGTTGGGTGCAAAGAATGGTGTACATGCTTATTCCTTAGGTAGTGATTCAGAAAAATTAAGGGAAAGTGAGAATAGTTTGTACCTTGTCTTCCCACAGCTGAAATCCATAAGATAGAAGTGGTCCCAGCAGATGTCCCAGCCAAAGCGCCGCCAGCAGAAGCCACAGTGCCAAGTCCAGCAGTAAACGTTACAAACACAGCTGCTCCAACCGAAATAGCCGGTGGGAACCCCAGTAACACTTACCCTGTGAACGTCAGCCCTGGTATCCCAGATCAACCTGCACAGAACACCACCAGTAGCTTGTCATCCAGTCCTGCTACCAAAGAAGCTTATGTTCCCCCAACTCTTCAGGAACAGGGAGCTGCAAGGTAAAGTGCACTTACAATATCTTCTCTCACTCTTAACATGAATGTACAGAATCTTGTGTTTGTCATGTGGTCAAAAGTATTTTTTTTTTTTTTACAGGAAAAGAAATTTACAGAAGTTATCCTTATACACATGAGTCACTAATGGCAGGCTGAACAATGATGACAATAACCTTATATTTACTGGATACAATGAGCTTTATTCCACCAGAGAGATAATCAGTTTGTGTTGCTGAAATATTACTGAAATTTCTGTAAAGAAAATGATGGCTGACTGAGAGATGGTTACTGAAGATGTATTTGTTTAACCTGTTCCTCTTTTATATAGCACACACAATTGTCTCCCTCCCCAGAAAATGTACTTACTAGAGATAGATGCATCTTACGGGTCAGCTAATATTTTGAGACGTCAAGATCTTTTCCTTTTACAAAATTAACCTACAATGGTTTCTCTTATAAACAGACTGTCCCTGAGTCAAGAAAGCTTACCCACCAGCTATGGCACAGGGGTCATACTGCAGCCGCCGTTGCCCACTCTCCTCCCTGTATCCCCTCAGGGCTCACCCCCCGCAACTGATCCTCAGTCTGCCGCCTCCCCTTTGTCTCCTCAGGTAAGGGAACGCCATTAGGGCTGGAGAAAGGGAGTGTTGTTTTAAAAAAGCTCAGGGGCTATATTTATTGTGATTTGTGGCTGTGTTTTGTTGTTGGCTTGATGTGAAGGATTGTTTTTATGTGGATGCTTATTTGTTTCTTAGTTCAAAGGATAAGTGCACAGCTGTGTTTGACTGAGATTTAGTCCTTATAGACTGCAGTACACATTAGTTCTGAATAAAAGAAATACTTTGCATAGTTGGTTACATTTGCAGATTTTTTTGGAGGTGGTAGGTGGATGTCTTGTGTGAAGCTTGAATAGTCTTAAGCTTTTTTTTTTTACCTTCCTTAAGAAATTGCTTGCTCTCTGGTTGTTTTGTATAATAATATGAGTTATTATTTTTTATTCTTTCTTTTTTTCTTGGGGGGGAAGGGTGTAGAAGTAGAGGGGGACAATTTTCCGTATAGTGTAACCTTCATGATATAAGCATATGTGGTATGTTTATATTTGGGAAAGAGTGCCATATGTGACACTAAAGAAAAAAATGAGAAAGAAAAAGTATATAAAGTATAGGTTGAAGTAGTCCAATTGTAATGTAAAGGAGTGCATTTATACTGTGAATTGGGTCACATCATGCTTAACTATGTTTGCTTTGTTGGCAGTTTTAGGATTAATGATGGTTCATTTAATTCTGAATTATTGTAAATCCTTTGAATAAGATATCTTGTCCACTCCTTCTTGTAGTCTTTGGCCACTTTTAGAACGAGTAGACATTTGTGAAATACTGTTTCTGTAACAGCAGTGTTGAAACTAGCCATCCAATCAGAGAATGCATCAGAAAAAGTCCCATGGAGCTTGCTTGGGTCCTCTTTACCCATTGTGAGTTTCGTTTATTGATTGTCTTTACACGGATGATTTCACTAGTGCTTGTCTACCAATAAGTCAGCTGCTTGTACTGCTTGTCTCACCAATTTACCCTATTCCTTGATTTTCAGAACTATTCTCTTTTTATCATGCACCACTATTAGGAATGTTAATAACCTTATAATAATCATAATCTCGATGTATATTGTTCTTTTGTGATATATTCTGTGATCCTCTATGGAATGTAGATTCATGGTCAGTGTCAGACAGGATGATGAAATGTCACTATTGAGCATTAAGGTTCTCTGCTTGTGGTTTACAAGAAATTTTCTTTGGTGTTTGGATGTTTTTTACCTGGTGGTTGGTGTTTTTTCTTTGGGATTTTATCTGAAATGGGTTTGATGATTCATCTTGCTATTTGTATGAATGTATGTGGATAGTTTTAGCCCTATGCCTATTTGAATTTAGGTATGCAAGTATTGAGTAAGGAATCTGAAATTATTTTTTTCTTTTCTTTCCCATTTTTGTATATGCTTGAGATGTTTTGCAATTTATTTTGAAGTGAGATATATATATATAAATTCTAAATTTGATTTTGGATAAGTGCTGTTTCTTATTTTCTATCATTTTTTTTTTTAATTGACTTTTGTTATTTTTTTGCTTTCCCTTGCATTGAAATTTAGGTGCTGTCCACAACACCCTTGGCTAGTGGGAGTTTAGCCTCCAGCCCCATCCCTCCAACTCTCCCTCATCTGACACCCTCTCCTCTCCCACATACAGTCTCTCTCCCTGAGCTAAATGCGCAGAATACATTAATGTTCACACCCATGGCCATTCAGAAATCAGAGCCCCAAGCAGAGACTCCCTTCGCTTCTCCCATGCTTCAGCAGCCCTCAGTGCCATTGTTGAATGTTAGCTGTAGTAGCAGTCCTGCTGAAAATGCTGTAACTACTTCTCTCACGTCTCCTATGCCATCCTATGACATGCAAGGGCCGAGTCCCATAACAAGCTTTAGCTCTGTTGAAAGTCCATCGTATCAGTGCAGTGAAAGACAAGGACTTTACCCAAGTGATCAGGACTCAAGTAATACACTGCATATGACATCTGATGTTCAGTTTTATACTCCTTGTGGTAATGCAGACCCAAGCCAAAGAGGGAGGACTGAGGATAGTCAATCCCCCGGAGAATCAGGTGGAAGTATACCTCTCTTTGATCTGCCGGCTGCACCTAACAGTCAGACAAGCCCGTCTCCAGACACACAGACACCAAGACAACCCGATGTTGACGGCACCCCTAAACCCCTTCCTGACAGCACCCCCAGCACCCAGGGCTCGCCACCCGAGACTTTGCCCCCCCAGACGGTGGGCTCCGTCTTCCCCCTCTCCATCCCCTCCTTCCTCAATCCCTTTTCCACGGAGGTTGATGCCCGGCAGGAGGTCAGTTCCGCCACAAACAATGCCCCTGTTGAGCCCACGAGTGCCCATACCCCTGAACCCCGGGCACTAAAGGTAGTGTTTAGCTGTTTTGTTGTTTACTAGTATTTTGCTCAGTTAGTCAGATTTGATTAAGATGTAACTGATATTTTCTTATTATTATTCTTTTGCTTAAGTTTTTATGTATTTATTTTGTGTGTGTCTCTGTCTGTGTCTATGTGTCTATATGTGTCTGTGTCTGTTCATCTATGTGAACATACATGTATGTATTTATGTATGTAAGCATGTGTGTGTTTGTATTTGTGTGTGTGTGTTTGTATGTGTGTGTGTATGTGTGTGTGTGTGTGTGTGTGTGTGTGTGTGTGTGTGTGTGTGTGTGTGTGTGTGTGTGTGTGTGTGTGCGTGCGCGCGCGTGTTTGTGTTTGTGTTTGTGTTTGTGTTTGTGTTTGTACTTGTGTGTGTGTGTTTTTTGTTTGTTTGTTTTTGTCTGACCATCTGTCCATCCATCCGCCCATCTCTGTTCACCCGTCCTAATGTTCACACAATTTCCTAGGACTCGTTTCCCGCGTACCGTCCAGCATCCATACTCTTCAGCCAGTCAGCCGACGACAAGCTCTTCGTAGTGGACCCCATGGCATCTCCTGACCTCCCACAGGCGACAACAGCAAACGCGCCAGATGGAAGCCTGGCAGAGAAGTCGGCAGCTGAAGTGAGCGAGGAGCAGAAAAAGCCCCCAGTGCCACTGCTCTTGACGAACTCGGCACTGCACCAGTCTCCTCTTACACTCTTGCCTCCTGGCGGTCCCAAGGTTGGTAGACTTACTGAGGGAAATCGGGATATTGACATCTGGAGTGGGCAGTTTAGGAAGTGGGATTTTGCAAAGGATTTATTTAGTTAGTTAGTTATTTATTATTATTATTATTATTTTATTATATATATATATATTTTTTTTACATGTTGTCTTTGGGAAATTTGCTAATGCTCACATTTTCCTTTTTTTTCAGAATCAGGAGGCTCTTTAGTGCATTTCTGGTGCAGCATTCCTAACAACCATGGAATTTTGAATTTTCAAGATGTAATAGTTATGGGTTTTCTTTTCGTAGCTGAAGGTGTACAGTTCTGGCGCGGACTGTGGCTCCTTTGCCATTTACTACACAGAACTTCTTCAAGAAGTGAATTCTTACATGAGTTTAATCATGTGTACAGTTTGGTAGCTGTATTATTTGAACACAGAAACAGTGAATGCATACACACAAAAACAAATACATAAGCAAAGAAATATATACAAATTTACAGGCCATATGGATACAAACAACCTTAACCATACCCAAACAAACAAGTATACACTTATTAATAAACAGGTACACTTGCTTACGGTAGGGACACACAGATAGATATATAAGCTAATACTCACATTTACAGACACTTACACAATATTTCTGCTCATATTTTATTTTCATTGTAATATGTTCCATGAAAATTAGATGGTTTAATTTCTTGGAAGGTTAATAAGTATATAACTCTGGAATGAAAGATAAATTTTTTTAGCCGAAATGAAATAATCAATATGTATTTATTTAATATGTGTAGTTTCTAAGGGTTTTTATCTCTTCTTCTTTCCTTTCTCTGATTGAGACTTTGACAAGGTATTTGAATGTTTAATGTAAAATATTTATAAACATTGTTATTAAGGGGATGGACAATATTACTGGCATCACCAATATTTTTTAGGTGCAATAGAGTTCTCAACATTCTGTTTGTAGCCATGTTAGCCCATGAAATATATAGAAGTTTATAATGGATAGCGATTTACAGTATATAGATCTGTGAAGACCATAGACGCCTGTGTAAATATGATTTATAGAGTTAAAGATAACATGAATTTGGTTTCCTCAGTAATAGGTAACATTATTTATCACAGAGGATTCCACTCCTTATGTTGTGTACTGTAAATAGGTACATTTCTGTTCATGATAATACAGTGTTGATGAGAATGTTAGCAGACAGAACAGCTGTGGAGAACTTTCATACACTTACACTGGTATGTTAACTTTGGAACTTTGTAATGATTACAGTATTAGATGACTAAAATGCTGTGTGGTGTGTATATATATATATATATATATATATATATATATATATATATATATATATATATATATATATATATATATATATACATACATACATACATATACATATACTTATATACATATACTTGTATACATATACATATATATATATACATACATATATATATATATATATATATATATATATATATATATATATATATATATATATATATGTATATATATGTATATATATGTATATATATGTATATATATGTATATATATGTATATATATGTATATATATACATATATACATATATACATATATACACACATACACATATATACATATATACATACCTGTATGCACACACACACACACACACACACACACACACACACACACACACACACACACACACACACACACACACACACACACACACACACACACACACATACATACATATATATTTGTTCATGTGTATACATATGTATATATATACACATACCTATATATATATATATATATATATATATATATATATATATATATATATATATATATATATGTTTACTGTACATTTCTCACGAGATAAACAGTTGATTTAAGTCTGAGTATCAGCTTTATTTAATATTGTCATCATATATTTATTGATCTTAGATTGTGTGATAAGATAGTCCAGATGGCATTTGTTATGCTTGAATTGCCAGATCTGTTTTGTTTTGTTTATTTTAGGAGAAATAATATATGAGATTTTCTCACATTCCATTTCTCTCATAAGAAATATGGGAAGAAAATACAAGGCTAAGATTACGTTAATGTGTATTTCAGGACTGTTGGTTTGCAAATTACTTTGTTTTTTATAGTTAACTTATTCAGTAGATTCAGAGTTCCAATATGAAATTTATGTCCTTCTGAAAACCTGTGTCAACATAATCTCCACAGCATACCTGTTGCTTGTAAGGAAATGCTACCCTTTGGCACTACAATTTTTTTTTTATTTTCTCCCTGTGAGTATATCTGTTATTCTTTTGAAAGTATTGTTAAAATCTAGAAGAAATATAAATAAAATCTAAATCTAAATATGATTACAAAGAAATCAGATTAAAAAGTACAAGATTTGGGTCATGTTTTCATATCCTTCCATAGAATTAGGATTTCAAAGGTATGCATTTTTCAATGGGTTTTGTGCTGTTCCGGTGGCACGAACCATTCGAGTAGATTTCATTACGAAGCAGCCAGACTAGACTACTTCAGTTTGGGCTTATAATAACACCATATGTTATAGAATTTTGAAATAGATGAGAAACAAGTCCAGTTACTTAACTTTTCAAAATTTTCCCTGTGGTGAGTAATAGACTCATCTAGCAATCTTACTGACTCGTGTTCAGCCCGCATACCGTCAGAGGATGGTAACCTCGGCCATGCATTGCATACAGTGTGATTTAGAAGCAAGATAAAGCAGACAGCCAGTTGCACCAAGAATAACAGTTGTAACAAATGGAATATAACTATATTATTATTATTGAGGGAACTTGGTTGCAGACAAGTTTTCTAAAATATATGCAGTATTAGTATCTTCACCTTGTTCCCCCCCAATCCCTTGCCCGTTGTTGTCGTGGGGGGGCTTAGGAGGCGGAGACTGGGACCCAATGATGGGGAACTCCCCAACCTTGGGACTCAGCCCTCGACTCAACTAATTATGCATGGTCTTTTTTTTTCCCTTCCCACTTTTGTTTCTGTCCCTTCACCAAACCCTTCTGCTATCCACCTCCTAAGGTGTGAGAGCCGTGCTGAAAGGATGAAAGGCTGACTTTGTGCCAGTCCTGAACGGCCTGAGGGAGCCATGGGCACGGTATTCCCCTGATTTAGTTATCTAGCCCTTACCCCTCAAGGGGATCCTGAGGGGTGGACTGTTTTTATCCCCAACATAATCCAGGCTTCCCATGGCCAGTAATGAAAATATATCTCCACTGTTAGGGGCAATGAGGCTTGCCCCTTTATCAAATAGCCCCAACGATGTAAACCCACCTGATTCCCCGACCCCAGGCTCTCCTTTGACCACGGCTCCGAACACTGCAATAACTACCCCTTCACCAATGCCTACTAGTACAGTAGCCAATAATCAACCCTCAAGGAATATTTCCACTCTCCCAGCATGCCCAACTTCAACACCTCTACCCCCACAACCTCCAACATCAACCACCCCATCCTCCCTTATTAATACCTTACAGCCTTATAGCCCACCTCTCCATAACACTACCTCCATCAACACTACTCCATCTTCGTCACGCCCTCGCCCTTCTACCACCCCTATCTCTAAAACAATCTTGAATACTCTCTTCAGTGCAGCCAAATGGGACCGATTTTTCGTGATCCCTCCCACAGCTCCCTACTCTGACAACACCCTTCTCTTCCAACAATGCCTCCAAAAACAAGTAGGTAAAGTCTCTTTCCGTAGCTGACCCGACCGCTCTCGTCTTGTAACAGTAACATCCGAAAACCAAGCCATAGCACTAACAAAACTAACTGACCAATATGGTAACCCCATCCTAGCAGAACCCCATCCAACCCTCAATACTTGCACCGGAACAGTCTCAATCTCACCAGCAAATTGCCCAATCTATGACAAAGATTGGTCAGATTGTGGAGAAGATCTACTTGCCTGTCTCACAGACTACGATGCAACATCAGTACAATGCTACTCAATCCCCCCCAGAGGTCATCGAAAGAAACCCACTAACATAGCCAAAATTACCTTCCGTAGACATGACCTTCCCTTTAACGTCTACATAGGAGGAGAATCCCTCCCTGTTCGTCCATACCAACCTCCTCCACGTCAGTGCCAAAATTGTTGGCGTCTAGGACACCCAGCCAAACACTGCCGTTCCACAGCCAGATGCCCATTATGTGCCCAACCTGGCCATACACGATCTAACTGCTCTGCACAATCACGCACATGTGCCAACTGTGGCGGCCCCCATAATGTATTTTATAGGGGCTGTCCCACCTACAAATTTGAATCTGAGGTAGCAACTCTCAGATTCAAACTTGGACTCACACTGCGTGAAGCCAGACAGGAAGCACGTCGACGTGGATTCTCTCTTACTCCTTACTCCAGTAATACTGCTCATTCTAACACTTCTCCTAAACCCACCCCTCCTACATCTAACCCCCCCACTTCTACCTCCTACCTTCCCCAGTCAAACTCTTTTGCCATCCTAAATCCAGAAACTCCAATCTCTAATACAGATACTCCAATCACCACTACAATCCCAACACCTTCCCCTCTCCCTCCTCGCACTCCCCGTAACAGACAGAACAAACGTTCCACCCCCTCTTCCCCTACCACACAATCACCTCCACCATCCTTTGCCCCTACTCTTGAAACACCAGTCCTCTCTTCCCCCCCTCACAAGAAATCCTTTATCCCCCACAACTCCCCAACCAACTCCTCAGAAGAAACTATTGAAAATATTCAAGATTACTTAATGCAAACTGACACTCAACCTACAACCCCTGCTCCTTCCACACTCCAAGTAACTGCTGATATCCATCCCCCTCCTAACGATATCCCCCCTACACCCTATCCTCCTACCCCCTCCCAACACAGCCCATCCCCCCCGACCCCGACCCCAACCCAGCCCACACTAACCCTCCCACCATCCCCTCTATCCCTTCCACTCCCTCCTGGATACACACGTGAATCCCTTATGTCACAAGTATCCCCTTCCTCAGACCCTCCATCTCCTAATACCCCTCCTGATAGAACACCAACTCCCACATCTCTCCCATCTCAAACCTCTCAGTCCTTATCCCACCCTCTAGCTAATTCCCCCTCAAAGTCTCCAACACGTACTGCAATCTATATCACTAAATCAACGAAAGTATAACTATCCTTCATTGGAATATTCGCGGTTTCCGCTCCCACAGACCTGACCTTCGTCATATCCTTTCCTCTTATAACCCATCTATTGTATGCCTTCAAGAAACCTTTCTTACACATCCTCCAATACCAATCCCCAATTATCATTTTGTCTCTTCCCCACATTCCCTTTATGTCTCGTCTATACTTATCAATCAGAAAACACCTTATGTCACACCACCCTTTCAAACCAATGTCCCTTGTACAGTTATTCGTATCTTCCTTCATCGTTGGATCACAGTGATTTCAGTCTACTTCTCCCCTTCCCACCCCATTGACTTTGTTGCTTTTGAAAATCTAATTTCCCAACTTCAACCACCTTTCCTCATAGTGGGCGACTTTAACTGCCGCCACACTCTTTGGGGTGATTCTATTACCAACTCCCGAGGCCGATCTCTAGAGCGCTTCCTCTCCACAGCTGACCTTACTATTCTAAATTCAGATCGCCCCACACACTTTGATACACGCACGCAATCTTTTTCATGCATTGACCTGCTCCCCTTCTCTTCATATAGATTTCCACTGGTCAGTCTTAGACCACTTTCCCTATAGTGACCACTTTCCAGTTCTCCTTTCTCCTACTTCATACGTACCACTTCCTAACTCCCCACGCTGGTGCTTTGAGAGAGCCGACTGGCATACTTTCACTTCACTCTCTGCTATTCATACCCCTCCATCCTCCCTCACCTCCATTTCAGAAATGATACAATGTTTCACAACTACAGTCTTAAGAGCTGCACATACAGCTATCCCTCGAACCTCAAGACCATATACCTCTAAATGTGTTCCATGGTGGAATTCTGATTGCACTAAAGCACTTCGCTTAAAACGTGCAGCCTGGAACAGTTACCGCTACAAGAGAGGTACTCCAAATCAACTATCAGCCCTTATCTCCTTTAAAAGAGCATCTGCCTGTCTTCGTCGTACAATCCGGAATAGTAAAACAAATAGCTGGCGAAATTATGTTTCATCAATTACATCCTCTACATCTATCTCAAATGTATGGCGACGAATCCATAAACTATCAGGCAAACATCCCCCCCATCCTGCCCCCGTCCTCCATATTCGAGATACCCTCATTTCTGATCCTCTCCAAGTCGCTAATGAACTGGGTGATTATTTCAGCCAGGTCAGTAGTGGCTCTCACCTTTCTCCACACTTCTCTTCTATCAAGACCACCAGAGAACGTACCCCCATTACCTTCACCCCATCCTCCGCTGAGTCCTATAATGCCCCATTTTCTTCCTCTGAACTCATTACTGCCCTACAATCGTGCCGCAACACTCATGAAGGCCCTGGCGGTATTCACTACCGTATGCTCCGGCAACTCCCATCTTCCTCCTTATCCTTCCTATTAAAAATTTACAACCACATATGGACATCAGGAAATTTTCCTTCTAATTGGCGAGAAGCTCTTATCCTTCCCTTCCTGAAACCCAATAAATCGGGTACCCTCCCTCAAGACTATCGCCCCATCGCACTAACTAGCTGCTTGTGCAAACTATTAGAGCGAATGGTGAACTTCCGCTTAATGTGGTATCTTGAATCTCACAATCTTCTCTCTCCTTCCCAATTCGGTTTTCGCCGTGCCAGAAGCACAGCTGACCCCCTTGCTCATTTTGAGACATATATTACATCCGCATTTGCACGCCATGAATCCGTACTAGCTATATTTTTTGATCTAGAAAAAGCATATGATACGACATGGCGGTACCATATTCTCCAACAATTGTCCTCTCTAAGCATACGTGGAAACATGGGTGTCTTCATAAAGTCTTTCCTCTCCCAACGCACTTTTCAGGTCAAAATTGCTTCTGCCACATCATCTTTCTTTCCTCAAATCGAAGGTGTCCCACAAGGCAGTGTGCTCAGTACCACTTTATTCCTTCTAGCTGTTAATGATATTGTCTCAGTTTTACCACCAGGAGCCCGGTCATCACTATATGTTGATGATTTAACCATCTATGCATCTGGCACATCCATACCAAATCTCTACCAATTTCTTCAATCTGCAATCTCATCAGTATCTTCCTGGGCCACAAACCATGGCTTCCGCTTTTCTATCTCTAAATCTTTCTCCATCCTTTTCTCTCGCTCACGTGTAAATCCCCTACCCCCACTCTTCCTATATGGCACTCCACTCCAATGCCGTTCCTCTGGCAAATTCCTAGGCGTCATTTTTGACTCCAAACTGACCTAGCGAGACCATATTCTACACATTAAAGAAAAAGCTCTCCGCCGCCTTCGAATTTTAAAAACTCTATCCCATATATCATGGGGCTCAGATCGCAAAACTCTTCTTCATCTTCATGTTACTTTGATCCTCTCCACTCTTGATTATGGATGCCATATCTACTCCTCTGCCTCAACTTCTCTCCTTGCCCATCTTGACACAATCCATCACTGTGGTCTTCGCTTAGCACTAGGCGCCTTCCGCTCCTCTCCAGTTGAGAGCCTGTATACTGAATCAGGCATACCATCTCTATCTCGACGTCGTGCCCTGCTCTCACTCCGATGTTATGTTCGTTTCCACCAACTTCCCCTCACTAAACTAACTATCCCACAATCCCTACTTCCTACCTTAGCTTCATCTCCACGCTTACCTACTCCTTTCTCCACTCGCATGGATACCCTCCTCTCCCATTCCCCTTTCCCCCATCTCCAACCTCTCCCGTTCTCTGTCCATACCGTCCCTCCATGGCTTATACCTCACCCCCATATTTGCTCTTCTGTTTTCCCCGACCCACCAAAATCAAATATTCCTCCTACTGTCCTTCTCATCCATTTCCTTGACCATGTCTCCACCCATTCCTCTAGTATACACGTATATACTGATGGCTCCAAATCCACCTCTGGTGCTGGTTTTGCAGTAATATTCCCAACTCGTACTTTCAAATACTCCCTTCCTCCTGAATCCAGTGTCCTTACTACTGAACTGTATGCACTCCTTTTTGCCCTAAAACACATATACTCACTCTCCTCTTCCTCTTTTACAATTTTTACTGACTCCCGTAGCTCATTAACTCTCATAAAGTCAATACACAGCACCAACCCCCTTGTTTGTAAGATCCAGAACTGGTTGTTCTACCTGTCCACACGCCATAAAACAATCAAATTTTGCTGGGTGCCCAGCCATGTTGGAATCCCCGGCAATGAACAGGCAGATACACTAGCACGCCACGCTGCTATGTCCACATCATACCAATCACGCTTCTCACGTATCCCAGCCACGGATTATTACCCACACTTTTAGACCTTCTTGTATAAACGATGGCAATCTTTCTGGTCAAGCCTCCACACTAATAAATTACATTCTGTAAAACTATCAATCTCCTCCTGGTCAGCTCCATTTCATCGGAACAGACGTTGGGAGACTGCTCTCGCCCGCTTACGCATTGGCCACACCCGTCTAACACACTCCTATCTGATGTCACAATCTGATCCACCCCTATGTTCATTATGTAATGTTCCCCTTTCAATCGTACACATCCTATTGTCGTGTCCACGTTTTGAAGCAGCCCGTACCTCTGCTTTCCCACACCTATCCTCCCTTCACCGACCTCCCAACCTATCAGACATCCTTACAGAATCCCACACTTTCTGCATCAACAACCTGTTCTCTTTCCTCAAACGCATACATATCCTTTATCTAATCTAACACCCGACCTTAACCCTTTAACTCACCAATTCCTTTGCCCAGCCTAGACAACTAATCACTAACTCAACCACCTTTAACTAACATTAACTATAGTGCTACATGACCTTAGATGTCTAGCACATTTATCTTGCTTTTAACCATTAACCATTAACCATCTTCACCTTGTTTGTTATTTTACTGTGTATGTGACAGAAGAAATTATACATATTTAATGCAACAATTGATGGAAGATTTTACTTTTATGTAAGGTTTAAGGACTTCAGAACCCTTGTTATGAAGTGATAATTAAGGATAAGTTAAAAGAAAAATCAGGGTAACAAAATTATATTGCAATTTTGAATATAAATTTCTGGCAGAATTATCTAATTTTCAAATACAATGTAATTGTTGTTGTGTAATTCTCTTTTTTTATTTACTTTATTATACACTTATTTGGATCGATATACAAAGTTTTTGCCTATTGAACATTTGATCTTTACACTGATCTACAATTTGAAGCCATGGTTTCACTTGCCCTATCTAACTCTGAAACCAGCCTCAGGTCTAGAATGTTTACTTTTTTGACAAAAGCTGAAAACTAGGGAATCCGGAAGCAATGACTCATCTGGCTTTCTTACAGGCTGATGATGTTTTGAAGCCTGTCCAGATGTGCTTCGTCTAGGGGAGTGTAGCCAATAACGAGGCTGAGTGACCACAGCTGAGTCTAGTGAAACCTTAGCTTCAGTGCCCTTTAGTGTTGGCAAATGATAGGCATTCCTTCATTTCAGTGTTTTGCATTACAGCCTGCAAGAGAGCGGAGAGCAGCTACAGCAGATTGGAAGCCTGCATTGTAGTCTGTGGCAACTTCATTCTTGATATAGTCGTCACGTTTGTCCTCGTACCAGTCGTTGGCATCAGGGCCTCCCACCAAGGCTCCGTACAGCACGTGAGGGTTAGGATCCGGTGAATGGAAGTCTGTCCAGTCACAGGTTGCTGGAGCAGGTTTACAAGAGCTGCTGGCGTGATGTGGCCGCAGCGGAGGGTTCACGCCAAAACCAACCACGTAGCTTCGTCCAGTGTCGCCTAACATGTAGTGGATCTGTTGCTTGCCAAAGTCTCGGTATTTCGCAGGGTTGATGCCCAAGTCTGCAGCTCTTAGGCAGATAAAGGCTGCGTTAGCTGCATATCGGAGGGAGCCCCACTTACTCAAGTACAACAATCCTTTGGGTGTTCTTGCCCTGTTTTCTACGATGTCGTTACAGAAGCTGGTCACATGATTCACATATGTGGCTTTATCCGCTTCATCAGCAAATTGTGCCAATAATACCTGCACTCCAGGAGTCTTATCAGCCCAAGAAAATTCCCAAGGACTTGTTGAAAGTTGCTGGTAATGATTCTTGGCTGCCGTTAAATAGCTAGTCTCACCTGTGGCACGGTAAAGCCAGGCAGCAGCCCATGCTAATTCGTCGTAGTAGCCGTAGCTGGCATAAAATTCGGAAACACCAGGGATCGTAGCATCATAGTCCCCTCTGAAATTATCGGCAAAGTCATAAAGGTCCCGAGAGTGTTGAAGACATTCGGCAGAATATGCAGGGTTGGAATCTTTGAAGAGAATGGAGGCGGCAGCCAGTGCAGCAGAAGTCTCGGCCACCAAGTCAGAACCGGGATTGGCTTCAGTGATCTTGTAGGCTGGTCTGTCCATAGTCATATCCTCTGGTCGGCCCCAGAAAGAATGGTCAAGCTGACCATTGCCTACTTGGCCGTACAACACTGTAGGACTCACGTGTGCCTTAAGGAAATAGTCTGTCGCCCACTTGACAGCCTCCTTCATGTACGACATTTCCCCTGAAATCAGTTGGTTCGATTATTCACTAAACTTGTTTAGAACATGCAAAATATTTCTAAATATTCACGCAAAATAGTTTTTGAAAATACAATTCTTGGTGAAATACCTGCTTGTATATAGGCAGTGCTATAGTCGATGGCTCCCCATGCTAACACTGTTGTCATACTTGACATTGGATATCCAAATTTGCCATAATCGCCAGCTGTTTACAAAGAAATCACATATACATTAATGGTATAGATATATTCATTTTCAAATTCTGTGGACTTGCTTGTAATGAAAAGCAAAAGCACTCTATAAAAATAGTGTGAACATTTATGTTTTAGATGCTACACACTAACCATCATAATATCCTCCTGTTAAATCAAGCTGGACGTTGGTTACACTGTCCTTGGCGTCGCCCAGGGCAGAGTCCTTGCGCCAGGTGACACGCTGTGAATCTGGCAGATCTCCAGATCGCTGAGCTTCGTAAAACAGCAGGGACTTGTGAAGAACTTCATCGTAGTCGTAGCTTGTCCCAGGAGCAACGCACCCAGAACCTGGTGCTTGGGTACTAGGTACTTCTGTGAGAAATATTTCATTTAAGAAATGCATTTTCCGTTACAATAGACTTTTTCAATTTGGAGGGACATAGGAAACCTAAAACCTCTGTTGGCATACATTTATACTTCAGTTAGAAACTCATATCTACCTTTAAATGGTTGATTCACTTGCATGTAGTTTGGCTTTCTTAAAGTCATTTTTTTCTTTTATTTATATTATACATAATTTTTTGGTATTTTTAGATGCTTCCATAGAATACGAAAATATCGGAAGGAAAAAAAGTCTGACAGACAAAATAGCAAGGAATATCAATTTACTTACCAGTTCCTGGGTTTGCGGTAGGCTCTGGGGTTGGAGCGGGGGTAGGTGCAGAGGTGGGTGCAGGGGTAGGTGCTGGAGTGGGGGCTGTTGTCACTCCACCACAATCAGTAAGGGAGCGAAGAGCAGCTACAGCAGATTGGAAGCCTGCATTGTAGTCTGTGGCAACTTCATTCTTGATATAGTCGTCACGTTTGTCCTCGTACCAGTCGTTGGCATCAGGGCCTCCCACCAAGGCTCCGTACAGCACGTGAGGGTTAGGATCCGGTGAATGGAAGTCTGTCCAGTCACAGGTTGCTGGGGCAGGTTTACAAGAGCTGCTGGCGTGATGTGGCCGCAGCGGAGGGTTCACGCCAAAACCAACCACGTAGCTTCGTCCAGTGTCGCCTAACATGTAGTGGATCTGTTGCTTGCCAAAGTCTCGGTATTTCGCAGGGTTGATGCCCAAGTCTGCAGCTCTTAGGCAGATAAAGGCTGCGTTAGCTGCATATCGGAGGGAGCCCCACTTACTCAAGTACAACAATCCTTTGGGTGTTCTTGCCCTGTTTTCTACGATGTCGTTACAGAAGCTGGTCACATGATTCACATATGTGGCTTTATCCGCTTCATCAGCAAATTGTGCCAATAATACCTGCACTCCAGGAGTCTTATCAGCCCAAGAAAATTCCCAAGGACTTGTTGAAAGTTGCTGGTAATGATTCTTGGCTGCCGTTAAATAGCTAGTCTCACCTGTGGCACGGTAAAGCCAGGCAGCAGCCCATGCTAATTCGTCGTAGTAGCCGTAGCTGGCATAAAATTCGGAAACACCAGGGATCGTAGCATCATAGTCCCCTCTGAAATTATCGGCAAAGTCATAAAGGTCCCGAGAGTGTTGAAGACATTCGGCAGAATATGCAGGGTTGGAATCTTTGAAGAGAATGGAGGCGGCAGCCAGTGCAGCAGAAGTCTCGGCCACCAAGTCAGAACCGGGATTGGCTTCAGTGATCTTGTAGGCTGGTCTGTCCATAGTCATATCCTCTGGTCGGCCCCAGAAAGAATGGTCAAGCTGACCATTGCCTACTTGGCCGTACAACACTGTAGGACTCACGTGTGCCTTAAGGAAATAGTCTGTCGCCCACTTGACAGCCTCCTTCATGTACGACATTTCCCCTGAAATCAGTTGGTTCGATTATTCACTAAACTTGTTTAGAACATGCAAAATATTTCTAAATATTCACGTAAAATAGTTTTTGAAAATACAATCCTTGGTGAATTACCTGCTTGTATATAGGCAGTGCTATAGTCGATGGCTCCCCATGCTAACACTGTTGTCATACTTGACATTGGATATCCAAATTTGCCATAATCGCCAGCTGTTTACAAAGAAATCACATATACATTAATGGTATAGAAATATTCATTTTCAAATTCTGTGGACTTGGAAATATACAAACTATAACAATAGTGTGAACATTTAAGTTTTAGATGATAAAGTCTAACCATCATAATATCCTCCTGTTAAGTCTAGCTGGACGTTGGTCACACTGTCCTTGGCGTCGCCCAGGGCAGAGTCCTTGCGCCAGGTGACACGCTGTGAATCTGGCAGATCTCCAGATCGCTGAGCTTCGTAAAACAGCAGGGACTTGTGAAGAACTTCATCGTAGTCGTAGCTTGTCCCAGGAGCAACGCACCCAGAACCTGGTGCTTGGGTACTAGGTACTTCTGTGAGAAATATTTCATTTAAGAAATGCATTTTCCGTTACAATAGACTTTTTCAATTTGGAGGGACATAGGAAACCTAAAACCTCTGTTGGCATACATTTATACTTCAGTTAGAAACTCATATCTACCTTTAAATGGTTGATTCACTTGCATGTAGTTTGGCTTTCTTAAAGTCATTTTTTTCTTTTATTTATATTATACATAATTTTTTGGTATTTTTAGATGCTTCCATAGAATACGAAAATATCGGAAGGAAAAAAAAAGTCTGACAGACAAAATAGCAAGGAATATCAATTTGCTTACCAGTTCCTGGGTTTGCGGTAGGCTCTGGGGTTGGAGCGGGGGTAGGTGCAGAGGTGGGTGCAGGGGTAGGTGCTGGAGTGGGGGCTGTTGTCACTCCACCACAATCAGTAAGGGAGCGAAGAGCAGCTACAGCAGATTGGAAGCCTGCATTGTAGTCTGTGGCAACTTCATTCTTGATATAGTCGTCACGTTTGTCCTCGTACCAGTCGTTGGCATCAGGGCCTCCCACCAAGGCTCCGTACAGCACGTGAGGGTTAGGATCCGGTGAATGGAAGTCTGTCCAGTCACAGGTTGCTGGGGCAGGTTTACAAGAGCTGCTGGCGTGATGTGGCCGCAGCGGAGGGTTCACGCCAAAACCAACCACGTAGCTTCGTCCAGTGTCGCCTAACATGTAGTGGATCTGTTGCTTGCCAAAGTCTCGGTATTTCGCAGGGTTGATGCCCAAGTCTGCAGCTCTTAGGCAGATAAAGGCTGCGTTAGCTGCATATCGGAGGGAGCCCCACTTACTCAAGTACAACAATCCTTTGGGTGTTCTTGCCCTGTTTTCTACGATGTCGTTACAGAAGCTGGTCACATGATTCACATATGTGGCTTTATCCGCTTCATCAGCAAATTGTGCCAATAATACCTGCACTCCAGGAGTCTTATCAGCCCAAGAAAATTCCCAAGGACTTGTTGAAAGTTGCTGGTAATGATTCTTGGCTGCCGTTAAATAGCTAGTCTCACCTGTGGCACGGTAAAGCCAGGCAGCAGCCCATGCTAATTCGTCGTAGTAGCCGTAGCTGGCATAAAATTCGGAAACACCAGGGATCGTAGCATCATAGTCCCCTCTGAAATTATCGGCAAAGTCATAAAGGTCCCGAGAGTGTTGAAGACATTCGGCAGAATATGCAGGGTTGGAATCTTTGAAGAGAATGGAGGCGGCAGCCAGTGCAGCAGAAGTCTCGGCCACCAAGTCAGAACCGGGATTGGCTTCAGTGATCTTGTAGGCTGGTCTGTCCATAGTCATATCCTCTGGTCGGCCCCAGAAAGAATGGTCAAGCTGACCATTGCCTACTTGGCCGTACAACACTGTAGGACTCACGTGTGCCTTAAGGAAATAGTCTGTCGCCCACTTGACAGCCTCCTTCATGTACGACATTTCCCCTGAAATCAGTTGGTTCGATTATTCACTAAACTTGTTTAGAACATGCAAAATATTTCTAAATATTCACGTAAAATAGTTTTTGAAAATACAATCCTTGGTGAATTACCTGCTTGTATATAGGCAGTGCTATAGTCGATGGCTCCCCATGCTAACACTGTTGTCATACTTGACATTGGATATCCAAATTTGCCATAATCGCCAGCTGTTTACAAAGAAATCACATATACATTAATGGTATAGAAATATTCATTTTCAAATTCTGTGGACTTGCTGTAATATAAGCAAAGCACTATAACAATAGTGTGAACATTTAAGTTTTAGATGATAAAGTCTAACCATCATAATATCCTCCTGTTAAGTCTAGCTGGACGTTGGTCACACTGTCCTTGGCGTCGCCCAGGGCAGAGTCCTTGCGCCAGGTGACACGCTGTGAATCTGGCAGATCTCCAGATCGCTGAGCTTCGTAAAACAGCAGGGACTTGTGAAGAACTTCATCGTAGTCGTAGCTTGTCCCAGGAGCAACGCACCCAGAACCTGGTTCTGTATTGTAAATCTTATGTATAGCAAGTTTGAAATCTCGATGGGATACGGTAGATTTGCATATGAATTAACAAATTTGTAAAAGATCATGAAAAAGTGTACTTCATGATTTTAAGGCATATATATGTAATATCCGTTTTTACCTGTCGGTTTCGTGGTCAGCGACGTAGTTGGACTTGAAGTGGGCGCAGGAGTGGGAGCTGGAGTGGGTGCAGTGGTTGGAGCTGGAGTGGGTGCAGTGGTTGGAGCTGGAGTGGGTGCAGTGGTTGGAGCTGGAGTGGGTGCAGTGGTTGGAGCTGGAGTGGGTGCAGTGGTTGGAGCTGGAGTGGGTGCAGTGGTTGGAGCTGGAGTGGGTGCAGTGGTTGGAGCTGGAGTGGGTGCAGTGGTTGGAGCTGGAGTGGGTGCAGTGGTTGGAGCTGGAGTGGGTGCAGTGGTTGGAGCTGGAGTGGGAGCTGGAGTGGGTGCAGTGGTTGGAGCTGGAGTGGGTGCAGTGGTTGGAGCTGGAGTGGGAGCTGGAGTGGGTGCAGTGGTTGGAGCTGGAGTGGGAGCTGGAGTGGGTGCAGTGGTTGGAGCTGGAGTGGGAGCTGGAGTGGGTGCAGTGGTTGGAGCTGGAGTGGGAGCTGGAGTGGGTGCAGTGGTTGGAGCTGGAGTGGGTGCAGTGGTTGGAGCTGGAGTGGGTGCAGTGGTTGGAGCTGGAGTGGGTGCAGTGGTTGGAGCTGGAGTGGGAGCTGGAGTGGGTGCAGTGGTTGGAGCTGGAGTGGGTGCAGTGGTTGGAGCTGGAGTGGGTGCAGTGGTTGGAGCTGGAGTGGGTGCAGTGGTTGGAGCTGGAGTGGGAGCTGGAGTGGGTGCAGTGGTTGGAGCTGGAGTGGGTGCAGTGGTTGGAGCTGGAGTGGGTGCAGTGGTTGGAGCTGGAGTGGGAGCTGGAGTGGGTGCAGTGGTTGGAGCTGGAGTGGGTGCAGTGGTTGGAGCTGGAGTGGGAGCTGGAGTGGGTGCAGTGGTTGGAGCTGGAGTGGGTGCAGTGGTTGGAGCTGGAGTGGGAGCTGGAGTGGGTGCAGTGGTTGGAGCTGGAGTGGGAGCTGGAGTGGGGGCAGAGGTTGGAGCTGGAGTGGGTGCAGTGGTTGGAGCTGGAGTGGGAGCTGGAGTGGGTGCAGTGGTTGGAGCTGGAGTGGGTGCAGTGGTTGGAGCTGGAGTGGGTGCAGTGGTTGGAGCTGGAGTGGGTGCAGTGGTTGGAGCTGGAGTGGGAGCTGGAGTGGGTGCAGTGGTTGGAGCTGGAGTGGGAGCTGGAGTGGGTGCAGTGGTTGGAGCTGGAGTGGGAGCTGGAGTGGGTGCAGTGGTTGGAGCTGGAGTGGGAGCTGGAGTGGGTGCAGTGGTTGGAGCTGGAGTGGGTGCAGTGGTTGGAGCTGGAGTGGGAGCTGGAGTGGGTGCAGTGGTTGGAGCTGGAGTGGGAGCTGGAGTGGGTGCAGTGGTTGGAGCTGGAGTGGGTGCAGTGGTTGGAGCTGGAGTGGGAGCTGGAGTGGGTGCAGTGGTTGGAGCTGGAGTGGGTGCAGTGGTTGGAGCTGGAGTGGGAGCTGGAGTGGGTGCAGTGGTTGGAGCTGGAGTGGGTGCAGTGGTTGGAGCTGGAGTGGGAGCTGGAGTGGGTGCAGTGGTTGGAGCTGGAGTGGGAGCTGGAGTGGGTGCAGTGGTTGGAGCTGGAGTGGGTGCAGTGGTTGGAGCTGGAGTGGGTGCAGTGGTTGGAGCTGGAGTGGGAGCTGGAGTGGGTGCAGTGGTTGGAGCTGGAGTTGGAGCTGGAGTGGGTGCAGTGGTTGGAGCTGGAGTGGGTGCAGTGGTTGGAGCTGGAGTGGGTGCAGTGGTTGGAGCTGGAGTAGGTGCAGTGGTTGGAGCTGGAGTGGGTGCAGTGGTTGGAGCTGGAGTGGGAGCTGGAGTGGGTGCAGTGGTTGGAGCTGGAGTGGGAGCTGGAGTGGGTGCAGTGGTTGGAGCTGGAGTGGGTGCAGTGGTTGGAGCTGGAGTGGGTGCAGTGGTTGGAGCTGGAGTGGGTGCAGTGGTTGGAGCTGGAGTGGGTGCAGTGGTTGGAGCTGGAGAGGGAGCTGGAGTGGGTGCAGTGGTTGGAGCTGGAGTGGGAGCTGGAGTGGGTGCAGTGGTTGGAGCTGGAGTGGGAGCTGGAGTGGGTGCAGTGGTTGGAGCTGGAGTGGGAGCTGGAGTGGGTGCAGTGGTTGGAGCTGGAGTGGGAGCTGGAGTGGGTGCAGTGGTTGGAGCTGGAGTGGGTGCAGTGGTTGGAGCTGGAGTGGGAGCTGGAGTGGGTGCAGTGGTTGGAGCTGGAGTGGGTGCAGTGGTTGGAGCTGGAGTGGGAGCTGGAGTGGGTGCAGTGGTTGGAGCTGGAGTGGGTGCAGTGGTTGGAGCTGGAGTGGGAGCTGGAGTGGGTGCAGTGGTTGGAGCTGGAGTGGGAGCTGGAGTGGGTGCAGTGGTTGGAGCTGGAGTGGGAGCTGGAGTGGGTGCAGGGGTAGGTGCTGGAGTGGGGGCTGCTGTCACTCCACCACAATCAGTAAGGGAGCGAAGAGCAGCTACAGCAGATTGGAAGCCTGCATTGTAGTCTGTGGCAACTTCATTCTTGATATAGTCATCACGTTTGTCCTCGTACCAGTCGTTGGCATCAGGGCCTCCCACCAAGGCTCCGTACAGCACGTGAGGATTAGGATCCGGTGAATGGAAGTCTGTCCAGTCACAGGTTGCTGGAGCAGGTTTACAAGAGCTGCTGGCGTGATGTGGCCGCAGCGGAGGGTTCACGCCAAAACCAACCACGTAGCTTCGTCCAGTGTCGCCTAACATGTAGTGGATCTGTTGCTTGCCAAAGTCTCGGTATTTCGCAGGGTTGATGCCCAAGTCTGCAGCTCTTAGGCAGATAAAGGCTGCGTTAGCTGCATATCGGAGGGAGCCCCACTTACTCAAGTACAACAATCCTTTGGGTGTTCTTGCCCTGTTTTCTACGATGTCGTTACAGAAGCTGGTCACATGATTCACATATGTGGCTTTATCCGCTTCATCAGCAAATTGTGCCAATAATACCTGCACTCCAGGAGTCTTATCAGCCCAAGAAAATTCCCAAGGACTTGTTGAAAGTTGCTGGTAATGATTCTTGGCTGCCGTTAAATAGCTAGTCTCACCTGTGGCACGGTAAAGCCAGGCAGCAGCCCATGCTAATTCGTCGTAGTAGCCGTAGCTGGCATAAAATTCGGAAACACCAGGGATCGTAGCATCATAGTCCCCTCTGAAATTATCGGCAAAGTCATAAAGGTCCCGAGAGTGTTGAAGACATTCGGCAGAATATGCAGGGTTGGAATCTTTGAAGAGAATGGAGGCGGCAGCCAGTGCAGCAGAAGTCTCGGCCACCAAGTCAGAACCGGGATTGGCTTCAGTGATCTTGTAGGCTGGTCTGTCCATAGTCATATCCTCTGGTCGGCCCCAGAAAGAATGGTCAAGCTGACCATTGCCTACTTGGCCGTACAACACTGTAGGACTCACGTGTGCCTTAAGGAAATAGTCTGTCGCCCACTTGACAGCCTCCTTCATGTACGACATTTCCCCTGAAATCAGTTGGTTCGATTATTCACTAAACTTGTTTAGAACATGCAAAATATTTCTAAATATTCACGTAAAATAGTTTTTGAAAATACAATCCTTGGTGAATTACCTGCTTGTATATAGGCAGTGCTATAGTCGATGGCTCCCCATGCTAACACTGTTGTCATACTTGACATTGGATATCCAAATTTGCCATAATCGCCAGCTGTTTACAAAGAAATCACATTTACATTAATGGTATAGAAATATTCATTTTCAAATTCTGTGGACTTGGAAATATACAAACTATAAAAATAGTGTGAACATTTATGTTTTAGATGCTACACACTAACCATCATAATATCCTCCTGTTAAGTCTAGCTGGACGTTGGTCACACTGTCCTTGGCGTCGCCCAGGGCAGAGTCCTTGCGCCAGGTGACACGCTGTGAATCTGGCAGATCTCCAGATCGCTGAGCTTCGTAAAACAGCAGGGACTTGTGAAGAACTTCATCGTAGTCGTAGCTTGTCCCAGGAGCAATGCATCCAGGACTTGGTTCTGTATTGTAAATCTTATGTATAGCAAGTTTGAAATCTCGATGGGATACGGTAGATTTGCATATGAATTAACAAATTTGTAAAAGATCATGAAAAAGTGTACTTCATGATTTTAAGGCATATATATGTAATATCCGTTTTTACCTGTCGGTTTCGTGGTCAGCGACGTAGTTGGACTTGAAGTGGGCGCAGGAGTGGGAGCTGGAGTGGGGGCAGAGGTTGGAGCTGGAGTGGGTGCAGTGGTTGGAGCTGGAGTGGGAGCTGGAGTGGGAGCTGGAGTGGGTGCAGTGGTTGAGCTGGAGTGGGTGCAGTGGTGGAGCTGGAGTGGGAGCTGGAGTGGGTGCAGTGGTTGAGCTGGAGTAGGTGCAGTGGTTGGAGCTGGAGTGGGTGCAGTAGTTGGAGCTGGAGTGGGTGCAGTGGTTGGAGCTGGAGTGGGAGCTGGAGTGGGTGCAGAAGTAGGATCAGTTGTTGGTGCTGGGGTGGGTGGAGTTGAAGAACCTCCACAGTCTCCAGCAACTTGATCATTGAAGCTCACAGAAATGATGTCTGGAATAGCCCCTGAGTAGGTCACCAATATACCCAACTCGAGTGTTGTGCCAGCTGCCAGAACTCCATTGTAATCCTTGTTAGAGAGTGTGATGGAAGTGCCAGAGGTGGGTGCCACATTTGCTGCCCATGCCTTCAGTACAGTATGAAAAAGGAAAGGAAGAAGTATTGTTATTATATATATGTATTGTGTAACCTAGAGGGTAAATGTATGATAGTGCAGTGCAGAAATGCCAGAATTGCTAACTTTGTGTTGGTTAAGAGTTGGCTTACCTGCACAAGCTTTCAAAATGCATGTAGAAAAAAGGTAGACAAGTGAACGAATAATTCTACTGCTGGAAAACCCCAAATGAAGGTGAGGTGCAGAGGTGTTGAGTGAACAGAAGGGTTGAGTGAACATATTGAAACTGACCTTTGCTCCTGAGGTTAATGTGAGTCACGAGTCAATAGCAAATAGGAAGGTATAGCACTGAAGCCAGGGATTCTTAAAACCTTTTTTTGTCCTGTTATCCCCAAAGACTCTCGATGGTATTACAGTGATTCCCATGATATATGTTGTGATGGTGAACTTTGCATAGAACAAAATAATAAAAAGACGCAATTTATTTTAAGATGTCACAATACATAATCCCAAACGACTCCTAAGAACCGCTGAGTTAAGCTGAACACATAGACAATATGGGGAGAGTCTTACCACGACTAGAATTCTAAACAAAGTACCAGGTCTTACTCTGTGCATTGATCTTTGAATGAAAGATGAGTATGAGTTAAAGTCTTTACCTGCTATAGACCCATATACAAAAAACCTTAAGTCACCTAGCTTGGGGATAACTCAAGGTGACCTGATGAAGTGGTTATACCTGTCATCCAGTCGTCATATATGTAAAAGATAGTATGTTGAAACAGCATTGAAAATGGGTGATCAAGATGCAGTGCAATTATATATATATGTTTTAAAAGAAGGGTATGTATTCTGGCTGAGTTCTGGGCAATCTACACATAATGCAAGAATGTAATCACATACAGTGCAACGTGGAGGCACTTATTCTTACACAATTGTTTCAACATTCTAAAATACATCATACGACCAGATGAATAAAGGACTTGGACAAACGCTATACAGTTCATAATCTGTAGTTAGATAGGTCATTCCAGATTATCCTTTCATGCAAACAAATGTTATTCCAACAATTTTGCTGTCGACATGAATGCAGTCCACAAACGAAATAGTTACTTAGAATGTATATAAGAAAAAAAATCATAATATATCACCACTAACCTGAAAATTATCCACAACATTTGACAGTTGCAGAATAATATTCCAAGAGGTGATGTCACTCGGTACAGTAACATAAAGTATGCCTTGGTAAATGTTAACCAAACTGGTGGTCTCCGTAAAGCTAACACACAGTGCATAAGGAACCGTAGTGGGCGTAGGCAAGCCAGTTTCACAAAGCCCAAGCTCTTTATCATTAAAATCAAGAGAGGTGATGCTTGGAATACTGCCGGAGTAGGTTATCAGTATGCCTAATTCAAGCACGGCGCCGGCTGTCTGGACGCCATTGTAGCTTTTGTTGGTGAGCGCGATGATGGTGCCAGAGGTGGGTGCCACGTTCGCGGTCCACGCCTTTGGTGTTGAGGAGAGGGAAGGAGGAAAGAGAAATGGTCGGTGTATAAGATGAAGTAAAGTAAGTTTAGGATTTTATTGCAGTGGAAGATGAGATATGTGGATCAGAAATGTCAAATTTCCAATACACACGCACACAGTAAAAATCTCTTTTGACGGAAAACGTATATGTATGTGTGTATGTATGTACACACACACACACACACACACACACACACACACACACACACACAGACACACACACTTATTGTTACATTTCTCTAATTACAGTAATTTCCAACCTGAAAATTGTCCACGGAGGCTGACAGCTGCAGCACAATAGTCCACGAGCTCACATCCCCGGGAACGGTCACATTCAAAATTCCTTGAAAGTTCCCGGCCCAGCTGCTCGTCTCCGTAAAGGTGGCGCATTTACCATTTCCGTCACCTGCGTCAGGTACCCTTCATTAGAATAAAGATCTGCCTCGGCTTGTAAAGACCCAACGTGTATTAATCATTCGTGAAGTACGTGTGTCCATACACGTACAATCAAACTCAATTACCTTGAATCAAATTTCAATCAGACTGGAAAAAGTGCCCAATAACTTCCGAACTATAAAATGCATTTCATTTATACCCATCCCCCCCCCCCCTCCAAAAAAAGACCGCATTCCACTTACCAACCGTAGCGGGAGTCGTAACTGGTCCCGGACTGGTCGTAGGGAGCGTTGGTGCTGTTGAAACGAAAGATAATGAATGGCTGATAATGATTAATTTTATAGAATAATATGTACATTCGGTTTAGATTTAAAACCTAGAACTTTGCATTGTCCAGAAGTGTCATTTTTAGTCAGTTTTCTTTATAATTATCCATGCGATGTTTTGTGCATTCTAGCCAACCATCATGGCAAAAAAAAAGAAAAAAAGAAGAAAAACAAAACGCGGCAAAGAACACATTTCATGCGATGGAAAAAAGGTGCTTTCCAGAACAGATGAAAAAAAAATATAGAAGTTTCTGCCATGCAAAAGAGCTAAGATACCACAGAATCTCGCTGCGGGGAAAGGCGAGTACATTTTATCCTATGTAAAACAGCGAACACGATATAGCAGATATTTTCTTTTATGGAAAAGGTACTAAAGAACATATCTACTGCTATGAAAACCGGGTAATACTTTGATGTTGCAGTGTATTTATTTTTTTTTCGTTTCCTTTTTCTTTTTCCTATTCATTTGTTGTTTTTTTTCTTCTTTTCTTAATCTATTCTCTTTCTTTTCTTCGTCGTCTTTTTTTATTCTTCTTCTCTTCTTTCCTTCTTCCCTTTCCCTCTTCCCTTTCTTTATTTTTTCTTCTTCTATCCATATTTATAACAACTTTTCGCTCCATCAAAAACACACGAGTACAGATTTCTCATTCAAAACACACTTTATTCAGTCAGGCACGTAGATTATTACCTATAATCCTGACTGAATATAGGCTGCTATATGCCATTACTTATATTCCCCCGTGTCCAATGAAAATGCGAAAAAAACGAAATGTCATTGAAAACGAAGAGATAGCAGACGTGGATCAAACATTACGTGCTATGAAAACCAAAGAAGGTGGAGGGAAGGGGGGAGGAGAGGAGGGGAGGGGGAAGGAGAGGAGGGGAGGGCAAAGAGGGAGGGGAGGGCAAAGAGGGAGGGGAGGGGGGAAGACGGGAGGGGGAAATGGGGGAGGGGAAGGGAGGACGGGAGGGGGGGGGAGAAGGGAGGACAGGAGGGGGAGGAGGGAAGGGGAGGGGGAGGGGAGGACCACAAATTACTGATACCACAGATGTAGCTATTAAATTTCGGGGGTGGGGGGGTGGGGGGAGGGAATGAGGATATTCTAAAGTTATTCAGTGTCGGAAAGCCGCCTTTGGAAAGGTCAGAGAGTCATTATTGAAAGGACCGAAAGGGTGATTCCGCAGACACGCCATTCGAGTGACCGAGGGGGCACTCGAGGGGGTCTAGAGGCACCACTGAGAAGGGGGGTGAGGGGGCACTATTGACAAGGGGGGTGAGGGGGCACTATTGACAAGGGGGGTGAGGGAGCACCGTTGGGAAAGGGAAGCGAGGTGGCACTATTAAAAAGGATTTAAATAACATCTTCAAAGCTTATAAACGAACGAAAAAAAAAGATGTATTATTCACCGATTACTTATTCCAAAATTCATAGCATTTTCACCTAAATCATAATTCTACCGTTGGAAAAATACTAATTATAAGATCACATATCTTCACATAGCTTTCGAAGCCCCTCCAGTGTTTAAGGCATTCGTCCACTTCATTCATTCTTACCTCATTCACTCTCAGCCTCCGCGAAAGCGTTCACTCACCTCTGCCATCAAAGAATTCAAAGCTTTATTTATCACCTTCGCCATTAAATTCAATTCACAGCTCGATTTTTACCTTGGCTGAAGCACACTTGGTCACCGTTGAGATAAACCGACGTGACCATAGGCGATGGAGCCACAGAGTCGTACCTGATAAATAAATAAATAAATAAATAAATAGGTAGATAAATAGATCAATGAATGAATGAATAAATAAATAAACAAACACATAAATAAATAGATAAATAAATAAATAGATAAATAAATAAGTAAATAGACAGATAAATAAATAGATAAATAAATAAATAGACAAATAAATAAATAGATAGATTAATAAATAAATAGGTAAATAAATAAATAGATAGATAGATAAATAAACCAAAAAATCCATTACAAAATCCTCCTCTTCAACACAATTTTACACACCATGCAAACATAGTATATAAAAGGGAAATTATCTTACAATATAGATTCCCACCCCACTCATTTATCCCTTAATAATATAATTCCAACCCCCCACCCCCCCTACGTCTTTCTCCCCGACGCACCTGTACAGGAATTCGAGGGAGATGACACTGCCCACGCCCAGGTCAGCGCCATCTTTTGCCACCGTGAAGAAAGTGCTGTTGGCGGCGCTGAGGGTCCCTGCCCATTGCTAGATGTCGTCGGAATTAATATTTGTATTATAATTATGCTGTGGTTGTTGTCTTCGGTAATATTGTCATCGTGATCATGTTTTATTGTTATTATCGTCACTAGTTTTATTTATTTATTACTATTTTTTTGTTATTATTATGATTGTAATTATAATAGCTGTTGTTCTTTCTCTTATCATCATGAGTGTGATTAAACTTATTATTATCATTATTATAATTATCATTAAAATGACAATTATTATTATCATTATTATAATTATCAAAAAAAGGAAAGAAAATAAGAAAAACAAAAAAAGAAAGGGAAATAAAGAAAGAAAAGAAACAAACCAAAACAAGAAATCAAACAAAAAACCGTCACGCCCCCCGCCCCCCATCACCGAATCACAAACTCGACTACCACGTTGCATGACAGATTCTTGACACTACTGACCATTGCTGACACGTGTTGCATGCAATTTGACGACCCGAATGCCACCCTTTTACACTATGTACGAGCAAACACGATTAAGTAAACAACATTTATTTTGTTATATGTGTGTGTGTGTGTGTGTGTGTGTGTGCGTGTGTGTGTGTGTGTGTGTGTGTGTGTGTGTGTTAGTATTTTTTTTTTCACTAATGCTAACCTATTACACCACCTACACTATCTACCAAACTAAACTAAGCGAAACTAAACGAAACGAAACTAAATTAAACTAAACTTAAATGAACTGAAGAGTTTTCCCAAACTCGAAGACTTGAACTAAACTAAATCCCACTGAACTGGTCTAAACTCAACAAAACTAGACCGAAATGAAATTTTTAAAAATGATAATCATATAAACATATAATAACAAAACAAACAACAAAACGAAAAGCACAAGCACAAAGCTAAACAAAACGAAACGAAACGGAAAAAAAGACCTAAAGCAAATGAAAATGGAACTATTTTAAACCAAATGAAAATCAACCGAAAAAACGCTTCTCGAATCTTGAACTAAACTGAAAGAAACTAAAGCAAACCAAACTAACACGAACAAAACTAAAAAAAAAAAAAAAAAAAAAAAATAACGGAAAACAGAAAACAACAAAAGAAAAGAAAACAAGAAATAAATCAAAACAAAACAAGTAACAGAACAAAACAAAAATAAAAATTACAAAATATAAAACAAACAAAAATTACAAAATATAAAACATAGAAAAACAACAATAAAGCATAACAAAGACAAACAACAAAGCCAAGCCAAACAAAAAGAAAAATCACAAAAAAAATAAAACAAAAAGAAAAAAAGAGAGAGAGAAAACAAAGCCAAACAAACGCAAACCCAAAACCGAACGAAACCGAACCGATCCGAACGGCTTCCCGAACCTCGAAGGATTGAACTAAACCGAAAGAAACTAAAGCAAACCAAACTAACATAAACATAACTAAACAAAAGAAAATGACAAAAAAAACAGAAAACAAAAAAAACAAGAAATAAGCAACCCAAAAACCGAACAAAACCGAACGGCTTCCCGAACCTCGAAGACTTGAACTAAACTGAAAGAAACAAAAGCAAACCCCCCCCCCCCCCAAAAAAAAAAAAAACTAAGCAAAAGCAAACGACAAACAAACAAACAAAAAAACGGAATACAGAAACAAAAACCAAACCAAAACAAAACAAAACAAGAAATAACCCAAAAACCGAACCGATCCGAACGGCTTCCCGAACCTCGAAAGCCTGGACGGGCGCCGACAGAGCCAGCCCGAGCGTCCATCCCGCCGACGCGTCCTGCACCGGGAAACTCAGGACGCCCAGCCACCCTTCAGCCCAGGCACTCTTCTCCTGCAGGAGGTCCTCGCAGGCGCCGCCGTAGGGGATGGTGGGAGGTGGAGGGGGCGGGGCCACGGTGGTGGTGGGCGGGGACGTTGGCGCTGAAGGGCGGAGTGAGGCGGCGGTTTTTTTAAATATGTTTATCTATTTATTTATTTATTATTATTTTTTTTCTTTTGGTTGTCGAATAGGAGGGAAGGAGACTTTAGTTGTTTATTTATTTAGATTTTTTTTTGTTAATTATCTATCTACCTGTTAAATATTATTATAAATATTATCGTTATTATTATAATAATTATTATTATCATCATTATTATCATTATTATTGTTATTATTATTATTATTATTATCATTATTATCATCATTATCATTATTATTATTATTATTATTATTATTATTATTATTATCATCATCATCATTATTATTAACACTATCAACAGCATCACTGTTATCATCATCGTCATTATTATCGTTGTCATTATCATCATCATTATTAGCATTACCAGACCTATCATTATCATTACCATTGTCATTATCAATTAAGAACAATCATTACCTTTTAATTAAATCAACTAATCTCCTTATCCTTATTCCTGATTTATCGCAATTCGCCATTCTAATTACTGCCAATTTATAGCCTAATAAACACACGCACGAAATATACATCTATTAAAGGTCACACATGAATGATTATTTTCTAGGTCGATGTTCATGTGTTATGATGAGAGTAAGTCAAAGTCACGTGAGTTAATTGGGGTTAATTGGGGGGGAGGGTAAATTGGGGGGGAGGGTAAATTGGAGTTAATTGGGGGTGGGAGTTAATTGGGGATGGGAGTTAATTGGGGATGGGAGTTAATTGGGGTGGGGGTAAATTGGGGTTAATTGGAGATTAACTTGGAGTTAATTGTGGTTTAATCTAGGGCGATGGTGGTAAACTTGTACATGATGACGTGAAATAAATCTGATTCTTTGGTAAATATAGACATGATATTCCGTATAAGAACAGTACACAACGTTGTATTCAAAATAACACAATTCTCCATAAAATACTTTATCTTTATAAGATTATAAAATAATTTATCGACTCCGAAAATAACGCACAGTTGTATAGATAATCAGTATTAATTTAGTAAGTAAAGTGTTCGAATGGATGTTTATTCTTATCAGTCACCCCAAACACAATATATAAATGAATAAATAATTTATAGATACATGAATAGAATGAATAAAAGTAAATAAACAAATAAAAAGAAAATAAACGAATAAATAGGTGAATAAATAACACAAATGAATGAATGAATGACTCACCCACATAATCAGAGCCAGAAATTCGAGTATAAGTGCAGGTGAATCCCTTTTTCCGCACTGTCGCATCGGAAGAAAACTCGACCGTGAGGCCGCCATTGCTGTACACGTCTGCGAAAAAAAAACAAGTGAGCATCGCTTGAGAAAAAAGAAAAGAAAAGTGAGCATCCCTTGAGAAAAAAAACAAGTGAGCATCGCTTGAGAAGAAGAAAAAAATGAGCATCGCTTGAGAGAAAAAAAAAAAAGAAAAAAAAGTGATCATCGCTTGAAAAAAAAAGTGAGCATCGCTTGAGGAAAAAACAAGTGAGCATCGCTTGAGAAAAAAAAAAAACAAGTGAGCATCGCTTGAGAAGAAGAAAAAAAAATGAGCATCGCTTGAGAAAAAAGAAAAGAAAAGTGAGCATCGCTTGAGAAAAAAACAAAAAAATGAGCAT